CTAATTAATTAACTCAATTGTGGCTGGATTGATTAAGTCTACACACAAACACGAGATCGCAGCCGAGCAAATTGAGCTCTGGAGTGCTGCTGCTGCTGATGCATCTGGGAGAAGGAAACATTTTGATTATCGGCACATGCGTGTAGTTGCAAATCTTTTAATTGAATTGACAGAGGGAGTGAGTCAGATGTGCCACAATCATGCTTGTTAGATTGTTTTCTGAGCTGTAAAAATATGGACAGAAGTCGTGATGGGATAGCTTCTGAGTTCATATTTTGTCCATTTATGTAAATGAGTGAAATTATGATCAAAACAAAAAATGGCAGTTACATGTAAACTGAACCATTGCAATAACAGTCAAACGGCCTGTGTGCAAAGCTGACATCTCTAAACACACCTGAATAATATTTTTTACATAAATATTTTTAACATTTTCCAAAGCTATTTTTTGTTTTTAACTGTACACACAACACTCTTATTGGAATTAGTATGTGTGATGATAGTGGCTGGAAGTAAATAAAATTAATAAAAACTTAAATGTATGCTTTTGTTTTTTCTTGAAAGAAAAAAAGCTATATATTATATTTAACAATAATTTCTCCTCTGCAGCACCGTTCATGTTTACATGTTTACTGCCCTTGAATTAACCTTGGAACGTGGCTTTTTTTGAACAATTTAATGCAATTCAACAAGCAACAAAAATGCACTTTGAAATACTGATTTTGTGTTGAATTATACAGCATACATTTTTAATAAATTGGACACAAAATGACCAAAAACACGTGCACTCAGATATAGTAAATGGTTTATTGCCTCATCACAGAGATACCGGTAAAGTGCATGTCATCCTTAAGAGATTTAATGTAGTTTTTAATTGGATAGAGCCCCATTATTTTTCAATACAGAAGGGGCACTGAGGCACGTAAAGCTCTTGAATATTTTTTGCAAATCGTGTTCAACAGCATAATGATTAGCCAAGGCACTAAATTTGCCTCACCAAATGAAAAGCAAACTTCATGCAAGGCGTAATTTAATTGTTTCCCTTCACATTTTCTGACTCCCATTGTTGGAAGCTTAACATTTTTAGACTCCACTGAACAGCCGTTTTTGTGATTCAAATGTTTAGAAGTTGCCGCACACTTCTCTTTGCAAAACCAGTGTAAGAGAAACCTATAGACAGCAGCAACGCAAGAGGAAGCATTCTCTTCTAATGAGTCGTAATTTAGGGAATAACGAACCACAAAATACAATGATATAGACAGGAGTGCATTTTTGACAATTGCAATTCTCTTCTACATCCAAGTGAAAAATATCATAATCTAAACATTGGACACGTGCTATAGCTGGATTGTCATTTTGAACTGAATGATTTTGATTGTATTTTTAAAAAGGTACATTGTATTTTCTGTTATTTCATGTCGCAAATGTGGTCTTGTGGAAGAGCCATTTTCAACACGAGGAGAACACTGCCATCTGGCCTTCAATTAGCGGTAACACAAGATACCTGAACTCAGAGTAAGTTTTAAATGGTATCCCCTATGGTTGCAAATATATTAAGATTTGTGCCAATGTGCCCCAGGGCAGCTGTGGCTACAATAGTAGTCTATCACCACCACTGTGAAAGAGCAATGGAATGTGAAGCGATTTTGAGCGTCCAAAAAAGCACTGTATAGAACAATGCATTATTATTATTACTATTATTGTTATTGCGTGCATGAGTGAACCATGTCAAAGATCATTAGAATTTAAAAAAAGTGTGGAATCTTGGGGGAACGAGCCTTCGCTGCAGCTGCCCCCTCTCTCTGGACCTCACTCCCACAATACATCAGGAACTAGGACTCACTTCAGCACTTCAAAACACTTCTCGAAACCCACCTGTTCTAAACTGCCTCTAACTGTTTATTTTAGCCTTTTATCTATAGATTTTTTATTTTCTTTGCTTATTGACCAGTTCTTTCCTAAAGCATTGTTGAGTGTACAAAAAGCCCTATATATTAATGTGCTATTATTATTATTATTATTAGCAAGATATGTAGTATGGAGGTGGAGTATTCATACCTTTTTGAAATTCAGTTGAAGACCCCATAACAGGACTTTGTACCAGTTCCATCGCAGGTTAACAAGCAGGTCGGTGTGGTGGTAGCTATTTTGGAAGAAAGAAGGGAAAAGGTAAATTAGAAAGAAAAAATGTAATCAAAACTGTAATACATATATTTTTTTTAGATTCATATTCACATTTTCCTCCCAATCCTACATTCAGCCCCAGTAATAATCTAGGAATTATAGTGTGTCACATTTACAACAGCCCAAGTTGAACCATGTCAACACTCCATCCTCGTCTCTCTGCATCACAATTTCCCCCAAAATAACCTGACATCTCTGTTGGTTTGCGGCACAAATGCACTGATAACAAGCGCCGCCTGTAAATCCCGCAGAATGGCAACTTTTCTCTTTCAGCCTGGCAGAGAGTGTTGAGAAGATGCCATTGCTGCCTCATTGGTTTTTCGCTGCTTCTGATTACTCTTCTCATCTTATGTAAATCCTCTTAAGTCACATGTTATTGTTTATTGCAACTGTGAAGGTTAGGTGTTCCTAAGCCCTGTGCGTGTGCTTATCTCTCCAGCGCATGCATCTTTGTCTCTCCAATGCGTCTTGTTTTGGTAATACACTAATGGATGGAGGAAAAGTTGTCTGGACTGATGTGCCATAGACAACCAATCCACTGCAGTCAAATGCTAATCTCTCCCAGTGGCTAACAACTCCTCATGAAAGGGAGGCAGTGGCATGCTCCAGGGATATCGCTCCATTATCAAAAGCCACTTGTATTTTTGGGGGAAGTTTAAATACTGAATACACACAATGAATGCAACACACATCACAGGTTTGCAGCATTAGCATGGAAATACAGCAGCAAGAACAGCAGTCAAAATGATTATCATGAGAGAAAGGTGAAGCTGCTGATGTTATATTCAAAGATAAGATTCGGCATTTGAATGAATCCCACCCTGATTTCTTTGTCCCATTCGTGCATGATTTAGACTTGGTGAACTTGCCTCCAGTGAATTGCTTCATGTGGCTTTTTGTGCAAGAAAAACATACAGCTAGACTCCTGACCATAGACAGCCCTAAGGTCCTGACCAAGGTTGTCACAATACAGTGACTCAAATGCACAGGACGCATTCACTATGAGGAGGAGGGAACGCCAATCATTTTGAATTCAAGATTTTCACCTAAATATTGTGGATTGCAATGTGTGAAGTAGGTTCTTAAATTCCATGGTCTGTTGTTCCTATCAAAAATCTATGCTATGTTTCTTCCGAGGATACCATTCTGTTTGTTTGTCTGACATATGTTGAAGATAAAAAGAGGTCAATGGAAATCCCCAAGTGCTTAAAGATTTGTGAGCATGTAATACAAATTTTGGGGTATACGAACCAGAATTCAAGTTCGTATTATCAAGTTCAGAATGGAGTTACTCGTGGGTTGAGGTATTTTACTGTGTGGTCATAGCTCATTATAGGCTAATATTAAAACAAATCTATTAATTAATTATTAAACCCATAGATTTTGGAATGTGCATTTGTCTTGCACACAAAAAAGTCTCAGTCCTCGTGTGGTGCAATATTGTTGAGAAAACCAGTTGGAATGGGAACTGAACGAATATTACAGAGATGTAAATGTACTGTAAGTGATGCGTTCTCTCTGTCAGAGTGCGCCACCTACTGGCTGTGCTTCACATAGTACTGATGTGGTTGGTAAGGCACCATGGATCCATAATAATATCTATAATATTACTACTGACTACAATCATACAGTATTTGAATCCGTATCAACGTGACCAACAGAGCCACTCATTCACCAATTGTTTGGCAACAGCAGGATATGTTTAATGATTAAGATTGAGATTAAGAGATACTTTATTTAGTGGGGAAATGCCAGTGTTGTATCACAAGTTATAGAGCAGTAGGAATGAGGAGCACACAGCACAAGATAAGTGAACAATAGGAATAAAACAAAATATCTAACTCTAGAATAGAGTATAAAATGTCTGTCTTAAACATAATAATAATAATAAAGAAGTATAAAAGTTTTAAATTTGGCAAAATAAGAGGCAAGTATAAAGTACTGTGTATTCTAGTGCAAGCAAAGTGTAGTTATATCTGTACATGTTAGCAGCAGTATGTTTACATCTGTACATTAGCAGCAGTATTTTTACATCTGTAGATTAGCAGCAGTATGTTTGCATCTGTACATTAGCAGCAGTATGTTTACATCTGTACATTAGCAGCAGTATGTTTACATCTGTACATTAGCAGCATGAGGCTGCCAGTATAATAATGCCAGCATTATTTACAAAAGCATGTATATTAAAAGCACATTTAGAAGTATTTTATGGCCTAACTTATAAATGAAGTGTTAGACATGTTATCCTTCAGTTGAACATAACGATGGCTCCTGTGGTGTGCATTTGTGTCTCCAGCTGCAGCCGCGACTCTTGATAAACAAACCTTATTATCCCTCTCATTGTAATACTAAAGTTTGACATTTGAAGCATAATATTTGACCGAAGTGTCACAATTAGAACATCTGAAAAATGTTGTTACATGTGTGTTGGCCAAACCTGTAGCTGCCCTGTGCAGAGGCATGAGGCTTTTTTGCTCACGATCGCCCCCTACCATGCGACAGGGTCACTGCGTGTCTCACTCATTCTTTCAAGCCATAGTTCAGCTCACCCTCTGTAGAACACCTTGGCCCCTTGCCATCAACCACCCGTTCTCAGCAACATTGTTTATTGTTTATAAATCGACAATTTACAAAGCCGTAGATCATAAAAGATAAAACCCGGAACAGCAGGTTGCAGCAGTCTGAGAGGCGGAGCTGAAGCTCTAGTCATTCTGTGAGCCCTAACCGGTCACAGGTTACTCCAGCCCTGCAAACTCCAGCCCTGCAGACACCAGCTCTGCAGACTCCAGCTCTGCAGACTCCAGCTTCACGCAGCTATGGCAGAGCGGATCCTGATCAAAGGAGGCACGGTAGTGAACGAGGACTGCTCCGTGATCAGTGACGTGTATATAGAAGATGGGAAGATCGTGGACGTGGGCCCAGAGCTGCAGGTTCCCCCCGGGGCCAGGGTCATAGACGCCACTGACAGACTGGTGCTGCCCGGAGGCATCGACACTCACACCCACATGGAGCTGGCCTTTATGGGCACACGGGCCGTGGACGACTTCTACATCGGAACCAAAGTATGGCTCTCACGGTTTGCTCTTAAAACTTTAAACAAAATAGCTACCATCTATAGACCCATTTTATTAAAATGATAATAATCATTATCTTAATAAGAAATACATTCATCCATTGTTTATTTTAAAAAGAAATGTTTATCTAACAGGGACAGTCATAGCATAGGCCTGTATAGGTCTATGACACTGTATGCCTATATCTGTTAAAAAGATCTGTTAAAATGGGAATTTATGAACTCATAAAAAGTTAACACTATGCACCTTTTCTGTTTATTTTAGTACAAATTCAGTACTTGAATGAATCCCACCCTGATTTATCCTTTGAAGAAACAAACATATTAGAATATGAAAAAAGCAAAAAGATAGAAGGCAAAGCTAAGCTTAAAACACATGTCTGTGATTTAACAAACATTTGTTAATCTTCAACGTTATCTATGTGTGTTTACTCAGGCGGCTCTGGCAGGAGGCACCACAATGATCCTGGACTTTGTCATCCCTCAGAAAGGTAAATCTCTTGTTGCGGCCTACGAGAGCTGGCGTAACACTGCTGACCCCAAAGTCTGCTGCGATTACTCACTGCATGTGGCTGTCACCTGGTGGAGTGAAGAGGTCTCTTTGCAACACAAGCACGATATCTCTGCACAATGTCACGGAGATTATAGAGACTCAAATGTGCTGTATTTGTGCAGGTGAAGAGGGAGATGGAGACTCTGACCAAAGAAAAAGGGGTGAACTCCTTTAAAATGTTCATGGCCTATAAGGACGTGTTCATGCTGCAGGACTCTGAGTTGTATGCTGCCTTCTCCCGGTGTAAGGAGATCGGGGCAATCGCTCAGGTGCATGCAGAGAACGGAGACCTGATCGCAGAGGTCAGTGAAGATCTCTCACTATCAAACAATGGTGAATATAGGAAAGAAGAAATTAACCTTAGTTTTGAAAGTTTTTGAGACAATTTAAACAATAAATCCACTTTCCAAAAACAGTATCCAAGCTATTATCTTTTGGGCTCAGAGTGTCAGAAAATAACTGAATACATCCAAAAACACATTTTGTTACTTCAGCTGGTATTCGGAAAGGTATATCGCTAGTTTTGTGTGTGCATCTGAGCCCAACACAAACATACTCACACAAACACATCCAACACGAGCTAATTATTATTATGTAAAACAAACTCTTATTTACACTAAATAATGTTATGCACAATTAGTAATGGCAACCGTGTAACCAATATATGCCACAAATAACATTTTATTCTGGTTAATCCTCCACACAAGACTCACTGCCCTGATTGCAAACCTAAAGTATTGCAAATATTGGTAATACAGTGTTAATAAAGATTGAAACTACAAAAATAGCGTCTCTCATCTCACAGCTGCTGGGAGGGCAACAGGCACCACTCCAGAACGCAGTGTGATCTGCGAGGGCTTCGTTTAGGCCCGTTTGGAACTCAGTGGCTTGGAGCTGCTGTTGCTCCCCATGTATTTAGTTTTGTTTGGAAATAAAACTGTGTGCTGTGGTGTCAATGAAAGAGGGAGTAAAATACAACTGAGGCGTTGTAAGTAAGTAAGTAGTAAGTAAGTAAGTTTTTATTTATATATACCGCCTTTTCACTGCAGATCTGAGTCTCAAAGCGGTTTACAATTGTTAATTTTGGGCATTTGTCTCTCACTCCACACAGAGATGGGAGCGGGGCCAGTACAGGAGGCGCATGCTAGAACTATTGGACATATTTTTAGTGGTAGGGGAAACCGGAGCACCCGGAGGAAACCTACGCAGACACGGGGAGAACATGCAAACTCCACTCAGAAAGGCCCTGGTCCGGCCGGGATTTGAACCCAGGACCTTCTTGCTGAGAGGCGAGAGTGCTATCCACTCAGCCACCGTGCCGTGGCTGAGTGGATTAGGCCATTGATTAGGTGGCCTAATCAATAAGTTGTCCTTATTGATTATTTATTCATCTGCATCTGCAATAGATGTGGATGCAGCTCCACTAGGTGCAGATGTCTCTGGTTAACTAAAGGTAAATCACAATAAAGACCCCGAAATTTGTGAACTCCTACACTTAAGGTAGGACTTCCTGCCATCCACCAGGAGAGGGCAGCAAAGTCAATTATTTATGATCAGACTGTTCAGTTCAAACCATGAGTTCAACTTAAAAGAATAATGTTATTGTTTGCATTAATGTTTTCTATAATATAAACATCCTTGAGGCCACAGAAAAGGCCTCTCTCAGTGGCTGTGGATTCGTAGGGGTGTCTGGTGTGTGATGACCTGAAACACCCTATGACCACATGTCTAGTAAACTTCATCACTAGTGCGAAAAATTAAAAAAAATATCACTTTTGACATTTGACACACTGGTACAGACACACCGCTATTTCATATAATCATTGACTTCCTTTTTTTTTTAACTATCAATATTTTGCTTGATTATGTAATTGTGCAAGATTTTCACTAGAGGGCAGCATTAGTTTATGATCTATGCTGGTGCAGAATGGATTCATGTAGTTCAGGCTTATGCTTAATCATCATGTACTGCTCCACACTTAATGCAGCAGCCTTGTCTCTTTACAGGGAGCGAAGAAGATGCTTTCACTGGGCATCACAGGCCCAGAGGGACACGAGCTGTGCAGACCAGAGGAGGTGGAGGCAGAGGCCACTCAGCGCGCCATCACCATCGCACATGCTGTCAACTGCCCTCTCTATGTGGTCCATGTCATGAGCAAGTCTGCCGCCAAAGTAGTGTCCAATGCGCGCAGAGAGGGTGTGTGAACATGCGGCTTCCACTAGAAAATATTACAGTTTATGAGATGATAAATTGCTACAGTTTATAATCACAGGTTCAAAAACTTATTGACAAATGTAAGGCTGGAGTCAAGAGAAAAATACTTGGTCAATAAAATAAATCTCCAGACAATCAAATAGTCAACTAAAAGCATGCGTAGCAAACATTCTCAAACTGATGTATTTTATATATCTAACCTAAACCATTCTCACAAAACCTTTGTATATAATCACAGACAAAACATATTGAATGAAGTATCGTTAAGAGAGATTGATCTGAATTTCAAAGTAAATATCAACCTCAAAGTAAATACCAAGCGCAATGACTTCTGATTCCATTACACATCAGAAACATTCTCATTTACATAAAATAATTCAATTCATTTCAATGTATTTTTGCATAGCCCTAAATCAGTTGGAACACAGGAAATGCAATCATAACAAGCACATAGGAGCCATTCTTTTACAGGGGGCGGGAAGACCAATGTTCATAATGAATGTCCATAAATGTCCCAGATCACCACTGTACTTAGACCCTCCGGCGTCAGTAAGGAACAACTAGTTACTGCAGTGGGAAAAAGGTGAAAAACCTCGGGAAGGCCCGCAAGGCAAGGAGGGGGGATAATTAGAGTAATGCAATTTCTGTTTAACTAAGAAAACATCGGCTTCTTAAATCGGCCTAGCAACTAAAAACAAACAGCCATAGGAAAACTGCAATCCTGCTGCATATTTGTCTGGTGTTTTCTATAAATCAATCCTTTTTTTAGGACGTGTGGTTTTTGGAGAGCCCATTGCAGCTGGTCTGGGCACAGATGGGACAAACTACTGGAACAAGGAATGGGCCCATGCAGCAGGTTTTGTGATGGGACCACCTCTCAGACCGGATCCAAGCACCCCCGGGTACCTTATGGACCTGCTGGCCAAGTGAGCATGCTGCTGAGTGATAGAGAATTGTTTCTGTGCTCGAACATACAGTTTATAATAGATTCATTGCATCTTCTTGAAAATCATACTGTATACTGTGCAAAGTATTTAATATTGAACTAAAAACAACCCTGGAGTTGTTTTTTGCCCCATCTACGATAATATGAGGAACTTCTCACACATATCTGTCTCTGCCTGATCTTTTTAAAATATGTGAACACAATTTGTATCCTCTCATCCAAAGGAGAGACTATTAACATATTGTTTTACATTTTTGTAGTGATGACCTCAGTGTGACTGGGACGGACAACTGCACCTTCTCCATTTGTCAAAAGGCTCTTGGCAAAGATGACTTCACAAAGATCCCAAATGGAGTGAATGGCGTTGAGGATCGCATGTCTGTGATCTGGGAGAAAGGAGTGGTAAATCTTTTTTAATAAGTTACTGTTTAAATAGAGGGAGACTGAAATACATGTCTTACAGTCTTGGCATCAAAGCAAGGTGCTTTGATTGCTGTACTTTAAAGTACCACTAGATGGAGGTAGAATCTACTATACCCGTGATGTGAAATGTCTGTTATTCAAACATATTATACATTTTCCAGTAGTACCATTTTACCATTTTGAATCCTAATTTTGTAATGGTGTATGTTTACAATATCTGTTGCAAGTCAAAAAAGTATGAATCTCTAAGAACAGTAGGACTGACAAAATCAGGCTTCTTATGTTTAGTGTTCAAAAGTTGTCTAGTGCAGCCTTTTAGTCATTGCCATTGCCCATGTGTGTTTCCTACGTTTCCAGCACAGTGGCAAAATGGATGAGAATCGATTTGTAGCTGTCACCAGCAGCAACGCAGCAAAAATCTTCAACATGTACCCACAGAAAGGCCGGATCGACAGAGACTCAGATGCTGATGTGGTTGTTTGGGACCCCATAATGACACGGTGCGCACCATCTGTAATAACTCAACAACTGCACATGTTGTTATTCTCAAAGAGACATCTATCAGTCAATACATCTAAAATATCTGTGTAGTTGCAAAGAAGGATATTGGAAAAATGTGTTACGTAAGTGATGCAAGGCACTTATAGTAAGTACTTTTTAGTAAGTTATATTAGCAAACAAACAAATACAATCTGGCTGATGGGGAGGAAGGCAGGTGGAGTATTACCCGTGTCCGGAGACTGGTTCCTGTTGATTATGTGAGTCAAAGGAGGAACTAATCATGTGGAAATTAAGTTGGACAGCTGCGCCATCTTCAAATTAGTACAATGATAAACGTGTTATGTTTATTAATGGCTTCTTATTTGTGCTGACAAAGAGAACTGAGATAAACTGAGGGCCCCATTCTTAGAGGTGGTTTCATTACCTTTCTGTGGACTGTTCCCTGTTTCTATATATTTTCTGCTTACTTGGGCACTTAGACCCAGTAGGCCTACAATGTCCTATTGTTCATTTAGGTTTTATTTGGATGGGGCAGTGCATGTTAATGAACACATCTCTCTGGATTTTTCGCAGTTGTCACCAACACTCACGCATTCACCCTGAAACGTTGTACAGGTTTTAAGTGGTAGGGGAAACCGGAACACCCAGAGGAAACCCAGGACTTTCTTGTTGTGAAACAGAGACTGACCGTGCCCCCAACAGTTACTTGGATTTGTTGCATTTCAGAACATGAAATGGATGTGGTTTGGTGATTAGACCCCGGCACAAGTATTTCATGGCAAATTCAGGAAAATATTTAGTAGAGATTGTGAGCGTACACACCACCTGGGGATCTAGACCTGGAGATGGAAGCTGAGCCAATGACATGTGGTGATTTCCCAGTGATGAAGAGGAGGCAGGATACTGTACGAACAGCAGCTTTATGCAGAGCTGATGAAGAGAAGGCTGATGAGTGTGTGTAACTGATTCTTTCAGGAGCAGGTGTGTAGAAGGAGGATTTAAGTATAGCAAGTGAACATGACCAAACCTTTGCTATGGTCTTTTTTTGTTCTTTTGTTTGTTTTTAAGGAACCATAAGTGATCTTTTGATTTTAAATTAGGTCTGAATCTTAGGTCTGAATTGATAATATCAATAATAATGTACATGTTGCTCACATTGTTGTTAACAGACTCACATTTGAGTTGCCAGTTTCTTTGGTGAAATCCAGATAGAGGATATCACATTTGTCCCTATGGCTCCCAGGATCATTCAGCACTGTAACAGGGCAAATATTTTTGCAAAACACCATAGACTTCCCAAATGGTTTTTGTGGCGCTTAGTGTATTAGTTATTTGTTTATGATGTATACCTTATATTTATGATATCTGTTTTTCAGAAAGATTTCAGCAAAGACTCACCACCAGGCTGTGGATTATAACATCTTTGAAGGGATGGAGTGTCATGGCGTTCCTGTAGTGACCATCTCCAGAGGAAAAGTGGTCTATGAGAATGGGAAGCTGAACGTGTCTCCTGGACATGGCTCTTTCGTTCACAGAAAACCCTTCTCTGAGTTTGTCTATAAAAGGATCAGGCAGAGGGAACAGGTAATGTCTTTTATATTCCTGCTGTTCTTCCAATCGTCCAACTGTTTGGAAAAATATTACAATTATAATAGACACATTTAATAATACATATTAAATGTGTCTAATCATTATTAATCATATAGTTAGAGACATATACATATGAATAGAAGTGCTTAACTTGTCCTGACTCAAACTGCAGCTCAGATCCAACATGTTGCACAAAAAGCCTGTCTCTCATTTGACGTAACATTCCTTTGTTGTCTTTTCTGTTTGCAGGTGGGCCGACCCTCCGCTGTGATCAGGGAGCCTTACCAGGGAGAAGTCATATCTGTGTGAGCAGACAAGCATTTACATTAAAGCAAGGACACCTAATTTTTCTAATAAAAGGTATCTAAGTGGACCTGAGCTCTCAAAACAGTTTGGTTTGATGAGCATTGTCCATTACTGTGTTTTTGACACATCTTTACATTCACTCTTTCAGAGAAAAAAGTATAGAGAGGACCACCCTCACTCATCCAATCAGCTTTAGTGACTCACAGGGCTCTAGTGACAGTTCACTTTGGAGAGACCCAAGAGGGAAAATGCAGTTAGAAGTTTGTTGATTGAGTATGTTTGGCGCCCTAGGCCCGGGAGAGATGCTGATGAGTGCGGCGCTTGCTCGCGCGCATGATCCCCCCCCGGGGCCTAGGCACTGGTGACGGCAGAGGCAGTAGGCAAGCACGCTTCGATGAGAGAAGGAGGAGGTGGGGCGGCGGAGGCTTTGCAAACTTCAGAAGGCCGGGAAAGTGGGCGTCTCCGGCTTTTAACTTGCTGTCCTGGTGGTTATTGGTGGATTAGATGTGGGCGTTTTGCTGGTGTAATGAGTAGAGGATGAGCAGGCTTGTAGATCTGGCAGCAGTGGCCGGGTCTACCACAGTGAACTTTCGCGAAGAGCTTCATCACAATGTGGTCTGATTTCTTCACACAGTATTACTTTTTGTGTATTATTTTTGAAAAGTAGTTGCGTACCCTTCCTCTCAGCCATGGTCAATTAGACTTCCACCCCTATACGAATGACAGAGGATGTTTACAAATATAGATGGATTTTATTCATCATAAAACCTACTGTATATACAGTGTATAATGTGCTAGAGAATGTCATTTACTACGGTCTAACAACATGGCACAAACCTATAGTAATAATAATGGTTATTAAAGACCACAGGCAATGAAGCATGTGAGAATGGAGGCCGATGTGGTGGCGGCAGGCCCTTCCACATCTGGGACAGGTAAGGAGAGGGGGCTGGGGGTATTACATAATTTAGCATAATTCAACATCCAACCTCTACACTGCTTTAACATTGGTCACAAGTTTTCAGGTCAAATCAGAATCTGTTCAGTACAAGTCCCTCTGCTACTAACTGTCCCTATACACATTATGCAATCACATATTTCAACATCGGACAATGGGGACAGATTACTGTACATGCTCTCACTGCACAATGTTTTTTGTTTGAGTCAGATTGAAATATCTCAATGTAAGTGCCATTAATGTAATGACTTTCAATTAGTCTTCTTAACTTTACATGGTGTGAAAAATAAATATAGAAAAAGTGAATTTATAATAATTGGACATCAGCACTTGGATACATATAGATGAAAGATACTAATGTAGAGGGACAGAGTCTATAATTATGATTACCAGATTATTATCTGTGAAAATGTAATAATCATGGGTTTTAGTTATCCATCAGTTTCAGGATGAGGATATTGAATACTGAAGAAGATGACAAAGTCTGGGATCGCGTCTTAAATTCAGACAGAAGACATGTTTTATTGTCGATGGTAGAGACAGCACGAACAACACGAACAACAGAATGCAAGTGTATTATACAGAGCGGAGGCATGGAGTCCTCCAATCAGCAGCTGCCACGGTGCCATGTAGCTTGGCCTTCAGATAAACAAAACAAGGGAAAAGTACTGGCTTCTGCACATTGATAGAATGATGAGTTTAACTTTAACAAAAGTTGCTTGTTATGAAATCTCACAATACATCAAATCAAACGCAATCTTGAATTAAAAAGATATCTTCAACATGATGCTTGTATGAAGTATGAATGGACACAATTATAGGACTTTTTATGAGCTAATGATTTATTATGAATTGTTACGACAATTGTTGCGACAGTAGTTTCTTTAAAAAGAACATTAACAATGGACCTACTTTGCATAGAATTAGCATAGTCATACTGGATATGGGCACAGTATTTGTTTATGCCCATATATGGTGAACATTCCTGCATCCTGTTGTGACAGTCTGTTGTAGTCACATGACCACTTCCCATTGGGTGGCCATGCGGTTGCGTTCAGGGCCACGGGCTCAGCTGAGACGTTAATGTGAGTTTATCAGGTTGGCTCTCGGGTCAGTGGCTGTGGGTGAGTCAGGACTACTCAACCGTGCACTGCTTCCTTCCTCTTGGTTCACACACTGGGATTGTGTAACTACATGAGAAATTGGACCAACTCAAGAAATATTGTCATGAAGCGTCTTGTGTGTCGTGTCATGTTATTGGTTTTGGAAGGATGTAAAATGGATCAATACAGTTAAAATACTGCGAAACACACAACGACTGGAACAAAACAGGGGCATAAGGCGGGCGGTATCTATACTGACGTTCATCTTTTTAAAATTCAAAATGTGTTGATTTTTCTTATTCACTGAGTCAGGCTTCCTTCAATAAATTCAAATAACACCGTGTCTATGATGACCTAAAACTAACTAAAATGTGAAAACTAGAATTAAGTTGAAAAGAGCACTACAGATGTTCCTCGTTGTCACCAGTTCAAAGTGAGTCTGCCTCATTTTTTATTTCTTTGATTCCAACATGTTCTCCTAACGTCTGCCAGGAACTGAATACCATTAAAGCCAAACAAAACCAAATCAACTAGTTCTACATTTCCCGGTCTAAGAACTGTATAGTGCGCTTAGTAAAATACATGTTTCATGATTATATTCATAAATGTCATGTCCTGCCAAATCATAGTAGAGTTTGAATAATAAAAACCAGTTTATAACTTCCTTTGTTTCAAACTGTAAGGGGAAACTTATGGAGATTTTATTCCTACCACTATCACTCTCTCAACATTCATACAAAAAGCTAAAAAACTATTTCAGTCCTGTGATCGTTTCAGCGATCGATCACACACAGAGCAATATTCTGCCTTTTTGTGTTGCCGATTAGTTTTTGTCGATCTCTCAGGGTGAAATCACATAGTTGTGGTTTGGAGCTTGTAATTTTCAACTTCAGAAAAAACGAAACAAATTCAAGACTCAGGCGGAAAGCATTTTTAAAAACCCTCATACTTTTTCGCCATAATTGTTGTACTTTCACATTATTAAACATGACAAAATGACAAATATAATATATTTAATGTATTTAACATTTTTACTTTTTGTTTAACTTTTTATGGGCGACAATTAGCTGCATATTGCAACGTCCTCACGAGAGCGGGCACACTGTTCCCTGTGCGATCCGTTCCCATGGTTACTATCTTCACTAATTGACAGGTTGGCTTTTACACTGTGACATAAGTTAATGAAGTGCTGCAGCAGACAGAGGCGCACGTATACAGGGAACAGGGGTCACAGAACAGTTGAACAAGTGCAGACAATTCCAACAATTAGAACATAGATTTAAGAAAGATTATGTATTTAAGGATTTTCAAATGTTGGCCTTTTCTGGTGGATTGACCATAATCAATAGTTATTATGCTGATGAAGCTGCAGTTAATAATAACAATAAATAAGAAATAAATAAATAAAATATTAATAGAAATAAATAAAAACAAACGATATAAATTTGCAGGAAGTAGAGCAGTGTTCTAGAACTGATGACATCATGAAATGTATTATTCATAATAAAGTTTGGCATAATTTTCAACAAACACAGGTTTCACTTCAACAATTTACTTCACTAAAAGTATGTTTATGTAATTTTGTTTGTCAAAATATATTTTCTATGAACATTGGAGGAGTTTTGATCAAGTTTATATCGCTCCCCATTGATCACCACAAAAAAAGTATGACCATATATCAGGAAAAATCTAAATAAATCAAGGTTAAAAAAAAGTAATTGTACTAAACTATCAACACTTTTACAATGAGCTGAGTTGATCCACTTTCGGTTTGAAGAGCAGTGGAAACCAGAAATGCAGCTATGGAGAAGAACACGGAAGCAGAGTGTGAAAAAAGTCAACATTTGGATGCAACTATATATTGTTAAGAATAATAAGCATTAATGGGAAAAGGCCTTACCTGTAAAAAGGTCCTGTAAACATGCTTTTCCTCCTCTTTCCGTGTCTTCCCTCTCCTCCTCAATATCCGAGCATGCAGGTACGCTACTCGTTCCTCTGCCGCATCAGCAAAAAAGCTTTCGCACACCAACAGTTTGAGCTTGGATAGTTTCCCAGTCATGACCGCCATTATAAGCAGCACCACCAGTATGGAAACGAGAGGGGCTATGGAGTTCAGCAGCAGCAGCTTAGGTCTGGGCAGACACTGTGGTTCAAACAGGGTAATGGAGTATGAGAAATCAGTCGAGTGGTTTTCTTCATTCAATGTGATTCCCACCAGAGATGACACCTTCTGTAAAGATAAAGTTTGACATTTAAGTGAGAAATTAACTCAGATTTTGCATGCACACATCAAAGTAGTCTCACTTTGACGCTAAACCATTTCAAATTTCTCAAACTGTGATGACTTACCTTGATGCTCATTATCAAAGGGATATCAAATGGTTCCATCTCCGATAACTTTCTCGTCACAATGTCTACAAACAAATATGATAAAGCATCCACGGTTATCAGTACTGTCCATGTTATAAAATGGGTTGCTATGGGAACGCAGAATTTCCACATGGCCCTCAGTTCTTTGGTCGTTGGTCGCACAAATTGAACCGTTGGGTATAGTTTCTCTTCCTCCGGTGATAAGGGCAGCACGTGCAATCTCCCCTCTGCTTTCATCTTGTTGTCATACTCCACAAATCTGCTGGTGATAAATGTGTTTTTGTACTTCAGATTTTTGCGATACTTCCTTACTCGAAGCAATATAAACGTCAATAAAATGAAGAAGCTTATAGCCGGAAAGATCTTACTGGATACAGAGGAGACTGTGGACACAACAGCTTGGGTGTAGCTCACAGTGTCATTCAACATCTGCTCTGCGTCTAAAAGTCTTCTCCGCAGTATTTCTGATTCCACTTTTGGAGTAATTTTGAGCTCGGAATCCAGCTTGACCACCTCAAGGTCCGTCACACCTTTCAGTATGTTCCCAATCCATTTGAGCATTTTCACATAATTTCTAAACGGAGATTTTATGGCTTCTTTCTTGGCCTTGAAATTGCATATCAAACTTCTTGTTAGTCCTGTCAAATTTTCCAAGGTGTTGCAGATGTTTTGAAAGATGACCAAACTTGTACCGGCTGTGAGCAGCAAGTTACGACTCTTTTTCATGAAAATTGAGATGAAAAATAGCGTCCCAAAGCATCTCACTTGCTTGGATCGAAGGAAAGCTATAGCCAGCATGAGACTGAAGCATCCAGTAAGGCCACCAGCTACTTTCAAGTCATAATCCAAAGTGCAAACCAGGTACAAAAGCATGAATGAGCTCAAAATAAAACTAAAAAGACTACAAGTTCCACAAAACAGTAGACATTTCCAAAATCCTTTCCTTTGCCCAGTTGTGAAGACCTCCATGAAAACCATCCAGTTGTCCTCAAATACTTGTTTTAATTTCAATCTTGAGAGGAACATTGTTGCAAATGAAATGTGTGAATGAAGTTCAGTAAATAGCAGCCTTTTCCCAGTGCCACAGACGAGACAAGGCCAGTCACATTATGAGCATGACAGATGGACCTCAAGTCTTCGCTTTGCACTCGTCTTATGAACCTAAAAGAGGAACTTGTTTCAGTCACCACAAAAATGAAGAACCAGTCTGTGTTTTTTTCTTTGGAAAAAATTAGTTGTCAATAAATATCTTGTATCATATTTATTAAAATAATTTATAAAATGTGAAGTACTTAAAATGATTCATGTTAACATTACAATTTAGACACGATTTTTTCCTTCTTAAGCCTTGAGTTGCAAAATAAGAGACGTCACAGAGACGTCTGTGCCGTGTAACACTCCAAAGTAGGTTTCATAATCTTATATAAAGTCGGTTGTTACGAGACCTTCCTGTCAATCATGAGTCTATAGATAAACACTGCGGGGGACATACGGTACATAAGAAATGTTCAAGTGTCCTTTACCACTGAATATTATTGGCCTCAAGTAAAAATGATTTACACTGAGTACAGTGCATTTTTCATGTATCTGTTTTAAACTTTGTTTCTGTATCAAGAACATTAAAAACTGAGTATGACTGATGTGTTCAGAGTGTATGAAGATGCTGAGTCTATAAGATCTTTAATGTAGTCATAATTCCTTTGTAACTGGATCACACAACACGTCACATCAGTGTAATATCATTTTTTTATTTTTAATTTGAAAAATAACTTACATAAATCTCTGTACTCAACCATACTTCACCAAGACATAGCCTTGGCATTAACACATTGCACCAAAAAGAGAAACGTAAAAGGCATTCAAAAGGATCCGAACATGTCTTTGTCATAGATCACGTGAGGCATTCTTCCTCCTCCTGCTCAGTCATCTGTGTAGCTCTTTATGTCATCTCTGACATATGAAAGTATGTACAATGGAAAATCAACAGAAAATATACATTGTAAATGTACACTGTAGCTCAATAAAATGTTATTCTCAGACATGAAAACACATTAATCATTGTGTGGAAAAGGAACAATGCCTCAGCTCAATTTCATTCAGACATACTGCAACTAGAAGTTCCATATACTTCCCACAAATGAGAAGTACTTATAATTACTATAAATAGAAAATAAAAAATAAACTGGTCTTGGCTTTTAAATAAAATTAACAAAAATATATTAAATTAATATTCTTCTTTTAATAAAACAAGAAAAAGTCATTTCTGTGGCAATATCCCTTGTTATTTGTGATCTCTTCTCAAACTGTGCCTGAAGACTGAACTACAGCGACACACGCCGCTGCCTTTGATTTGTTTTAGACATATCACTGTAACCAATGCAGATTATTTTTGCATGTCTGTCATCAATACTGAAAGAAAATACACTTGCAATCACGTCTGTTTTGTCAAACATCTGTTAAATATAAAATATTTTCCTTGTCACTTGTCAATTTTTTTCTCTCAAAAACCTGAAATAAATCATGACTTTGGAGGTGGAATGTTTGTCAATACTTTGATAGCTGGTCTGATAGACCAAGAAAACGAATTTGTCTTAGAGTTCAATCGAATGTGAGGAAGAAAAGTAATGACGCGGACATGCACTGTACAAGAAACTGCAAAAATTTCAAATATCATCTTTATCAAAACATGCTGAGTTACTGTAAGGTGTGCCCAAGCCATGTTGCAGATAATCCTTTTCAACATGCTTGTTAAAAAAACCAAAACAAATCCAACAGAAAAAACATACGTAAACCAAGAACGGTAACGTAAGCAACAGTCCGAATCTGGACAATATCAGGGACTGAAGATGGTCGCATGGACAGTACAGTGGTGAGTACCCTGGGACAAGGAAGAAAAGAGAAACATGTACAATTTGCACATAATGTTTATCTTTATAAGGCCTGGGCCTTTTACAATGAAGTAAATCATTTACATGTATTTTTCATTTTCACTTTTGTCACATAAACATTTTCTGTTAAATATCTCCAAAAGTTTCCTTAAGTTTCCCTTATTTGCATGTCTGCAAACCAGACTCAGAATGGTCTAAAGAAACAATGTCTTTTTTACCACAATGTTGCATTCACTCCCCTTGAAAACCATGCACTAGTGAAATTTATCTTTTAAAAATAATATAAATTGTTGAAAATGGCTGATCTGTTTTATTTCTTTTTCATCTTTTTTGAAAGTCGCAGCCTCAATAAAATAATTTTCTTTTTTATTCCGCTAAATTTGTCCATGCAAATAAACTAAAAGGAAATAAAAATCTCATTTAATTTTCATACAATATATCAACAAAGATAGAATGATGGTAGATTGTACATCTTTTTTATGGGACTTTTCTATGTTGCATGAAGTGCTGATGGTATCCACTTCTAAAATGTCTTAGATTTCCCATTTGGTTTGTACAAACCCTATCAATGGTTGGGCCTTTCACGCACGTTTCGAGGGAAGTGTGGATTCAAGCTGGGACACACCTCACCCAAAGTGGTCTCCAAACTCTATCTACACTGCGAGGTCTGTTGGCATGGCATGACCAAGCATCTGAATAGAAAAAACTGTCACCTCTTCAGATACAAGCACATAGACATTAAAAAGGAACAAAACAAATTAAAAACAAAGCAAAATTAAAGCAAAAACATTAATTTTTCATTCAAAAAGGGCTTCTGTAGAACTCATTTAGTGGTTCCCAGTACTGACCCCATGGCTTTGAATTGGATGAATACCTGGAACTGACAGATCCTCGTGCTAAGGAGTTCATTCCAGCTTCCTCCAAACGGCGGCGCGGCCAGGCGCCTACAACACTCTTTGCAATCGTGCACAATATGTGCAACGTTTTTGCTCAAAAACAGGATCACTGCTCCACCCCTAGAACAGGCTCAGAAGACACAACATCAAGCATGCAGTGTAACAGGGGGCGTGACCTGTATCGCAACACTGGCTGCTACAACAACGCTATCAGTCCACGCGCTGCTATGACCGAGAGAAACTGTCCAGAGACGATTGGGAAGCTCTTCGCGTCAGTGGGGCCAGAGTGGGATCCACCAATGAAGAAGGAGGAAAGAGCTTAAACCAGCCAATTACCATGTTGGACAGGTCCAGCTCGTCTAACAGTATCTGAACAGCTCCCATGAATGATTTATGGTCCATGCGTCCGTAGTCGCCCCATACAATAACCTAGGCACACATGAGTCAGTATTAACATCACTTCCAACATCCAGTATTGTAAGATATACAGTATTTGAAATACCACTTATTATATACCTGTAAAACCTTCCCTCCTGGACTCTCCTCAAACGGCAGTTGCTGCTGGTATAGAGGATCCAAGGTTTTTCTTGCTACTTTTGTTTTCTTTTTGGCTATGCAGACCCCATTTTCCAAAAGATATACCTTTACATATGGGGCTGTGAAGCAGAGCAGACATAATGTTGAAAGAAGCACAATTAAATATGGTGTCACATGGAGATACTGTAAGTGTCCAAATTACCTGGCAGTGCCTTGGAACCTGGTTTTCCCACAAGGCCACGGGCACGGATTACCTCCACCTCCAGCGCTCCTTTCTTATCCACCATGCCGATTTGAATGTCACCTGGAAAATACAAAGTTCAGAGTTAGAATAATACACAAAAAAACATGCTAGGCAGTAAATAAATAATTATTCTAACCCATTGGAGGAGTAGCCAATGTCTGTCGTCCAACCAACTGAGCCGGACCAAGACCATCCAGAAAATCACTGAACTGTGCATCGGAAGAAAGCCTCACTCCAGGAAATATGAGACTAAAAACACATGCATAGCATACATTAAATCCAGTCAATATCTACAAATGAAATCAAAGTCATTTGTTTTTGCTTCCTTACTTTCCCTCCGAGCTGTAGCTGTTCATGCTGCCGTCTGTTGACTCTCGACTGGCTTGCCTCGTCATACGGTTTCTCATCTCCACCGCCAGCCCAGTCTCTGTGCTCCTCTGGATGGTGCTACGCAATTTCTTTCCTCCTGCTTCTGAACACATGGGAGAGAGATAGAAGGTTATGGAGACTGTCAACTACCACCAATGAATCAATATCTGAGTCATGCAGCATATTCTCATGGACAGAATGACATATTCCAATTAAAATGGTTGTTACTTCCTAACATCTATAGCAAAGAAAGATCAGGACAGTGGTGAAAGAAACAGTATGTACAGTGCAAGCCCTGCCTGTATCCCGTGCTAACCCAGGCCGCCCCACAGAGACTTTTGGCTGATTCAAGATGACAGCTGGTGCAGCATTGGCCTGCTGCTGCTCATGTCCCCGCTGCCTCCCCGAGATCCACGTGGCCAGGCCTGTGGGTAATGTGAACTCATCTCACTACAGCACACCTGCGCTCCCACACTCTGTCGGTCTATTGTAAAACAACAATGCCTTCATGTGAATTACTAAAGTGTATGCACCTGGATAATCACTTACATCTTTCTGGTACATGATGAAAAATAAGTAAAATCATGCAAAAGCATGACATTTTTGTGTATGTTACATAATATACTGTAGCAAATTGGCAAATACAAGGACATTTATAAAAAAGCAACCCTATCTGCTTCAGATCAGCTAAAGAATATTCTTAGTTTGCTTGGATGTGCTCAGCATGAAGCTCATCTGAAACTATCAGGCATCAGTGTGTTCCATGTTTAAACAATCAAATGGGTTTGAAGTTGTAGAAGGATATAAATAATGTATAGAGTGTTTGTAATGACACATTATGAAGGCTATTGTCATCATTTCTTTCCACACAATATTCATCTCTGACTGTAGATGCCATGTAGGCAATATCTATAAACAAACTTGTATTCAAAGTCACACTGATCCTCTAACATAGAAGGCATAACTTTTCTATAACATATAAGCTCCTTTGTGATAACAACATTCCTCAACATTTTCACTGCTCCTTGTGAAATATTTCAACTGGAAATGCCCCTGTTTCAAAGTTAAATCACTTCTACCATAAGCTGCACAAATCCACCCATCATCGCTGTGTACGGTGTATCTTCCTATGTTTAAGTCACCTAAGGATATGCAAAGTCTCTATCTCACAGACAGAAAACAGAGTCACAGCTTTTCAGCCTTGAATTGTGCTTCATTCAGCTGCTCCTGCCTCCTCTTCCTGCTCTTCACACAACACACAAAAGGCCGGAGCAGCGCAGGTCAGGACTGACGTCAGCAGCACATAGACCTTCTCCACCATTCACAATATCAGTGCAAGAGTATGAAGCGAGGTTTAATAATGTCATGAGAGAGGTATGTTCCTGTAACACATCCACAGATCCTAAAGAAGCAAACCAGTATTTACAGAAGTACTGGAACTAGACCACTTTACTTGAGGGTGCAAGTCTGGACAACCCCGGCAAAGGCATGACATAAAAAGGTTTTAACTCCAAATTACTACAACAACCAAAATCTTTGAAAGTACTGAAGAAGTATATGCCCTCATCACAGAGCGGAATGGGAGAGGTGTATGATCAAAGAGTGTTTGGGCCTGTGTTGTTTTGTCTTATACCATTGGAGGTAGTGTATTATCATATGTAGCATAAAAAAACTAAGTAAGATACATTATTATTGGTTTGAAATAAATAGTCTAATAAAAAACTAAATAATGATTAAAGTAAATACAAGTAATGAGAATGAAACCCAAACTGTAAAGTGTGGGGACATTTACGACTTCACAAATAAAGTGTATTTATCATATTTTCTGAACACTACTTTGAGAATATGATTGTATTGTATGTATTTTTGTTTGACTGTTAATTTGATAAAGTTGTGAAAATATGAATAATGTGAATAATCTGGATCATTTGGGGATGGCCTACAAAGACAGTCTGAATCTTATGAACAGGAGGCCATGGTTATATTTACAATACTAACACTCACAATTTGTGAGAGCAAGTGTGAGAACAATTGTGTGAGACAGCAGCTAAATACAGGCTAAATGAGAAGTGCGAAGAACAGCTTCCACTGAACAAAAGCACAAAAAGAAATACAATAACTGGTGTAATAGTTAATAATATATATTATGCTGCACCAGATCCTGACCAAACATGGGGTAGCAAAAGGTTAAAAAGCTGAGCCATGGCCGATTCAAATATTTAGATTAGATTAGATTCAACTTTATTGTCATTACAAAGTCAGAACAATGCAACGAAATGCAGTTTAGCATCTAACCAGTAGTGCAATAGTGCAAGTATAGGATCATATTTACAACACAGATAAATATATTTGCATATCTGTGAGACTCGCACTGTCATCAAGCCAGTGGAAACATCCATGATCCTAATTCAATACAGTCAGCTTCCGACTCTTCCACAGCTTACCTCCGTCCTCTTCATCAAAGGAGTTCATACAGGGGAAATACACTGCCAGAGCCTCGAAGGACGCAGACAGGCTCATCTTGCTTTGGGACCGTTGTATCCGCATCCCTGCAGCCGGGGCAGAGCTGTCATTGCTTTGCCTCCCCATGGTCACAATCCAAAATTGGTCTCAAAAAATAAAAACAATATTACGCTATTCTTTTTAAGCTACAAAAGTCTATATAAAAATATTTGAATCAAAGCTTGCTGTTCCGTATGCACTGTTTAAGGCACAAATCGGGTGATAGATGCGCAGAGAGATGTTTGAGATTCCAAATCTTGTGCTGTCTGAGGCTGACGCTGCTGCAGCACCTCTTCTTCTCACGAGGGGGAGGGGGAAAAGCTGCATCGTTCACAGCCAATCAGGAACCAGGATGCCCAGACGCACCTCAGCAGCCTCTGCGGGTGAACCAGCTCAACCCAGTAATACTGCTTCTTCTGTACCCACTTGTTTAAACTGTTTCTCAATGTTCACTTGTGAACTCTTGATGATTTACTATGCCAGATTTCTTCATCTGTCCTTGTTATTAAGCTTCAGTGCAGATGAGGCTTCAGTGCACGCAGATGTCACTCGCTGTTCACGTGCTCTGTGTGGCCAGAGTGTCCAGCGGAGTGAGGAATGGATGTTGATTTAGCCAAGAGCCATTACTCCCAAACACCTCTCACTTCTGTTTTTGTACTTTACAAGAATCTTTTAAAAAAAACATGTTTTGTGCCAGTCTTTTTTTCCCCCTCTCAAGAAAGTAGGCGATAAAGACATTTCTAGAAATATAGCTTAATTATATAAAACTGAAAACTTGTATCAACCAAACTGTCAAGTGTTAGGACATTTAGATATTCATAAAAAAGGGTATTTTTCATATTCAAAACACTAATTTGTGAATATACATTTTTTCCCATTATTGTTTCACTGTTAATTCAATATACAGTAGTTTTGAAATATGACTAATGTGTAAAAGCTGGTGATGGTCTACTAAGACCATTCTCTTTCAAACAGATTTTTCTCTGTGTTGATTGCTCTTCACTACAATTATGGTAGAAGTAATATAGATCATCATAATGTGAGTAGGGGTACATGATTCAACTAGTGACCCATCACAATGAGGGCAGTCAGGTATAACGAGGGGAGTTCTTTGATGAAAATAAGGTTAACGTCTACTGTAATTGTCCCTGCATGGACATTTGAACCATCATGTGCACTCTTTGTAAGGCGACCTTAAAAAAACAAAACATTATTATTAATTATTAGTATTATTTTTATTATCATTCAATGCAACTAGGACCTTTGTCAGCAGCAGATGACTGTGGTCACTACAGCGCCCAGGGAGCCAACTCCAGATGTCGATGCTCAGCTTGGTCAGGTCTACCAGAGCTGAAAGATTTGACATAAGGTGCATGGTTGGGTGGTGGGGGAAATCAGAGCGCCTGGAGGAAACTCACCCAGACACATACAAGCTAACTCCACACAGAAAGGCCTGGGCTGACACATCCCACTCAGTCACCATCCGGCCAAAAAAGGCTCTACAACCAACTATCACTTTGTGTTTGTTACTTGGCAAACAACGGCACGTTTCTCCTGGACACTTGGACAGTCTTTATTTACAGACTTTATTAGAAAAGCTTGGTACTGGGGATCCCTGTGTTCTCTCATGTGCAGACGTCTTCTCTATACACAACTCTGTCTGTTAAATAAACCTCATCTCTGGAGAGGCACCAGCAGTTCAAACACCCCGCTGCGCTTTGTTTTGAATACCTCCGTGCCAGCAGCAGCCCTGAGCGAGGCCGTTCTAAAGATGGACACTATATGAAATGAGACCAGACTGAAAAAGTTACAGCTCCAGAGACACCTTCGACACACGAACACAGGGCAACCTACTTCCAGTAAAGATCCACTTAAGGGCGACATACAACTGCACTTTTCCTCTGGGTCAAGACAAACGCAACTGTGAACAGAACAGAGATGTACCTAGATGATTTTTAAAGTAAAATATGATTCAGGCTTTTTGAACCGCATTAGCAACCACAACTCAACTATTTTAAACTAAGTACCTGTTACTACCATAGACTGTATATATTAATCGACAGAGTCACGCCTATCTCCGCCGTTCTAACTAATGCGCCAAAAAATGTGCTCTACTGGAGCAATCCAAAATGGCCGCGAGTGGTCCCGCCCACAAGAAAATTGTGGAAAAACGCATCTGCGCATGCGTCAGCCGGCGCAACTCCATTCATTTGAACGAGAGACTTACAAAATTCACAGCAAGTAAACTAGAGTGGACCAAAAAATTCCACCCCCTCAGCATTGACACACATGTGGAACGGAGCTTTGGGCCAAGAGCCAACTTTTGGTCCATCCTGTAAAGACGTTTTTGAGAGGTCTGCCAATGCTATATGTTAGCATTGGCTAATTCTTCTTCTGTGTCCACCCCCATCGGCCCGGGGTGGTATTGCAAGCATGTCAGTGCACGTCATTTTGGCCACTTTTGAGCTGGGACCCTCCCCCACTGGTTACTACTTAACCTGCTCTGACCACACATCCAGACAGCAGCTTCAGCATGTGTTTATTATCTGAACTTTCTCTTGCTGTTTTTTTTTTCTACTAGCGTTGGCTGAAAGTGCCACA